CAAATCATTTTAGTTACAGTGTTATTTTTTCGTTTTGCACGAAGTCAATTTTAATTCTAAAGGTGAAATGCTTTCAATTTGTCTCAGATAACAACTGTTTTGCAATACGTCTGGATATTGCCAACTTCAGAAATATGAAAACTCAGCCGTCAGAGTAGATAGGATATATAAACGTTTTGCATTACACTTCAACACATTGAATGCAATTCAACAATGTTTATATTTGATTGCAATTTAAAAAGATATACCTTTACTATGATAAATCAAAGATAAACATTTTTCAAAATTAAATGAAGTGAGACGCAGAAGAATTTCACTAGAAAAAATAAAACTTCTACTGTCACCTTCGAATTTATCATCTTATACATTCATACATCAGTCTCACAAATAGCACTGTTCACAAACGGTAGAGACAAATATTCTCAGTACATGTATTTTGCGTGCATTGTTCATATATTCACTATTTTGAATAGCATCTAATACGTAAGTCCATAAGTAATGCCTCCTATTTTATTATTCACATGACATCACAGGCGGGTTTTGCTATGGCAATAGAGATTGAAATGTTCTGCAAAGTCATATTTCTTTTGCCTTGTTACAGATAACAACTTAGCGGCATATTGACAAAACTGCATATTACATGAAATTTCGTATAAAACAGAGGTGTGTCATCGAATTCCTTAACGCAGAAATTTAGTCACTGATATTCACCGATAGTTGCTGATTATTTTCGGAGACCAAACAGTGGATGTGAGCATAGTTAAGCGCTGTATAATGCTTTTTAGCAACTGACGATAGTGTCCTGTGTAACACGTCATGTTTCGAATGCAGCAAACTACTGATCATCATTGAAAAAATGCATAGCTAATAATGATGGATGACTATGTGGAAAAACTGGCTTGACTACCGTATACCGTTCACACGGTCCTGAAGGAAGACAACGGTTTGAATAAAACAGTTGACTAAATGGAATTGATAAAGATACGTACAGTGCTGATAATTACTATAACGAAGAATGAATTCAAAGAAAACGTAAGAATAACAATAATTTAAATAAGATAATCTCATCCATTAATGTAGAAGAGCTGCTGTCATTAAGCGGTTAGAATCAAGCTAATTAAAATTAACGGTAGTAAAATCATAACAATAGTTCAAAGATGGTGCCCCGAAGCCTGAGGTGGAATTGTCAAAATATTGTGATGAATATTTTGTACTCAGGCTTATTCCATTTAGCCAACTTCAGCCAAGTCCGAGTGACCGCTAAATGGTAGTGAAGCCTATTTTCCCACATAATAATAATGGTATTAGTCATACATTTTTCCAATGATGAATAATACCTTACATACCCGGTAAATGGTATTATTGTGTAAAATCCTTCTTCAATTATATTCAACCCAGTTATAGTTAACAGTTGATAAATTAATAACAATACTATGGAGTAATGGGTAGTGGCTCGGATTGAGGAATCGGAGAGCCGAGTTCGAATTCCAGTCAAATCCATTGCATTCACTTACGTGGTAATACTGTTGGGAAAGGTATGAATCCTCTTCTTCCCCAGCTATGGGTGAATAGCAGGACAGACCGGGTTCTATAGCAGAAAGAAATGGCAACCTACTACGGGAAGGAATACATGACTGAAAGCGTGTATCATCCACGGCACATAACTGACTGAGTTTAATTAAGGTGATGCGATTGTTCAATGTGGCCTGAGGTGTAACTGCCAAAACATTGTGATGAGATTGCATCACGATTTTAACCAATTAGGAATAATTCCATTTAGTCAACTGTTTTATTCAAGCTGTCTTCAGCTAGGATAATATTGTGCGCTGTAAATGGTAGTCAAATTTTCAAAGTTGCCCTTACGACTGTATTATTGTACTTCTTGTAACTATTTAGCTTTTGTGGACATAAATAGGAGACGCATTAATTTCGTAATGTTTTCTCGAATAATAACACTGTGGGAAGTCACCACTACTGACGGCATTTTCAAAGCATTTTTCATTTCGTGGGATCATAGATGTACAGAGCCACCCGGAAGGTGGTTTGTCACGCACACTAGCAAAATGAATAACCCACCACCACCTAACTGTACTCATTTCCACTTATTTTAGTCTCTGCAAAAATTTAACAAGCGTCAATGAGTGTCAATTAGTGTCAGGGGTAAAATTATTTTCTCATGGACGAATTCAATGACACACCTTTAATCTCAGACACCGCTATACGAGGCTGCTAAAAATGCTCATTGGCAAGAAGGTTCAGTCATTACTGTCATCCATCCGCTAACATCCGTATCTGGCGCCGTCAATCAACACATTTAAATAGGGATCATTACTTTTACATAAATATATTTTATAGCGGCGAAATTTGAGTCAAAAAAAAAAAATCATACTAGGTAATGGCTAATAAAATAGCCGAAAGCGCACGAATATATACAATATTTGGACAGTTTTTATACACTTTATGCCCAGAAAAGAAATCACTTATACGAAAGATTGAATAAAAAAAAATTAATAGCAGTACCTTTCCAGTCATCTTTAATCAAACTGATATATATATATATCTGTCCTGGACATTGAGTTCTACCTGGATTCTATCCTCTTGGAATTTTTATTCAAAAAATATACATGTATGGGTATTTATATATTTTGCATATGTATGTATATTTACCACTAATATATATATATATATATATATATATATATATATATATATATATATATATATATGTGTGTGTGTGTGTGTGTGTGTGTGTGTAATTTATTCGAAAATTATGACATAAGCATGTTATAAAATCATTACAAAGATAACCACTTTGTTTCAACACTTCTGGTGTCTTATCAAGTGATGATGCTGAATGTAGAATTTGCTCTACTCTGCAATGAGCACTTTTTTAAATTTGAATTTGCTCTACTCTGTATTGAGTACTCTTTTAAGAATAGTTTTTTGGTTATTGGAATTTATTCCATATACAGCAAACCTATACTTGAGTATATATATATATATATATATATATATATATATATATATATATATATATATATATATATATATATATATATATATGTGTGTGTGTGTGTGTGTAAATTATTTTCAGATAGAGTGTATTGGTGAAGAAACAAATGAATAAAAAGACAAGAAGAAAACGAGTCTTAGCCGACGCGTCTAAAAATATATATTTCTTGAATATTACCCGCTTAATTTTGTTTTACCAGACTTTGAATTATGACACTTTGTGACCTCCACATGTTTTAAGTGACCTTTCATCCACCTGGTGAATATTCATGAACGGTCTCAAATTTAAAAGCCTTGATAAACCAATGACATCCTTGTCCTTGTTTATAAACACTTGCAGCAAAATAAACCTTTACATTTTCCCTGATAAGGTCCCTGATAAGGTCCCTGAAAGGACGAAACACGTCGGCTAACAATAGTTTTACCTCCTACACACACACACACACACACACACACACACACACACACACACACACACACACACACACACACATATATATATATATATATATATATATATATATGCAATACCATTTCTGAATATTTAAATGTTGTCACTCTACATCTTATTACATGTTTTGGAATCTATGATTAGCTTTTCTTATGTAGAATACAAATGTGATATCTGGTAATAATTCAATAGATTTATCCGACTCCAATTGACCTTGATTAGTCGTGTGTCAGAGAAACTTTGAAGTTGGTCGAAAGATAAACCAATTTAACTTTACTGGGGCCACGGTCCTAAAAGACAACGACTTGAATGAAGAAACAGCTGACTAAATGGAATCGATAAACAGAAGTTTATTAAATATACGTACAGTGATAATAATTACGGTGACGAAGAATGAACTCAAAGAAAACCTAAGAATAGCAACTAATAATTTAAATAAGATGTTCTGATGACATTTTCTCTATGTTACCTAGATTCTATGTATTTAAGCACAATACTAGATTGGCGGCAAGGTCTCATCATCTTACAGTTGAAATATTTAGAAGTAGCCGTAGGTTCTATGCTAACAGTTTCTTCTCGCTTATGGGACTTTCTTCCAGTTTCTTGCTTGTTCTTAATAAATTTAAATGCAACGCCAATCGTTATCATCTATTTTCTAAATTCTTGTTATTTTATTGTTCTCTCTGCACAGTAGTGTTTTTTCTTATATTCCCTAATATTCAGCAATCTCTTGAGTTTTAGTGGCTTTATTACCTTTCTTGGGGTGAAATGATAAAAAAGAAGATAACCTCGGCTACTATTTCGCTAAACCCGTTTTCAATAAACAATTAATATTCAACCTAATTATAATTAAAAATACATAAGGAGTAACAGTAGGTAAAATATGGCGATCCTATTGTTCAATGAGGCCAGCGGTGTACTTGTCCATATATTGTGATGAGACTGTATCACAATTTTATCAATTAAAAAATTTCCATTTAGTCAACTGTTTTATTCAAGTCTTGTCAATCTCCAGGTCTGTGGGTCTGGTAAACGGGAGTGAAGCCATGAATTTGATAAGTAACTAATGAAAGTTATTGTTAAGAATTTTATCTTTTCTCACACTCTTTGCCTGTGGAACTCTCTTCTGGGTTCTTGCTTCCTTGCCACCTACAATCCTCAAAAATATTAATGCAACGCCAATCGCCATCTTCCTTACCCCTAGTCTATTTTCTATATTTCGGACGACTTTTCTGTTTTTCGTGAAAATTTAATTAAATTTCGATTGATTGATTGATTGATTTGTTTTCTACGGCTTATCGACCCATTGCAGGTTATATTGTAAGAATTTTTATTTGGAGACATTTGTTTTAGCGATACAAATCTTACTAATTAACCCATAGCTGGGGGAGAAGAGGTAGATTTATACCTTTTCTAAGAGTATTTGCACATAGTGAATATAACGAACTCGACGGGAATTGGAAATGGAACGCAGCTCTTCGATTAACAATTCCGAGGAATTATCCATTACACCATTAACACATCCTTACATCCTAAACTTACAGCACATGGTATTCCCAAGCGGTTACACATATAGGTACTGACCAGGCTTGACTTCGGTGATCGTACGGGAACCTGTGTATCAACGTGATGTGGCCGTATGTCTAATTACTTTCGATTTTCATCAGCGATTATGAAAGAATTTCATCTTTTTTTTTAAAATATTGCGTCTTCGCACATGCTTTTTTAATATCGCATCTTGACTTTTTTCTTGCGTTTTTTTCTTCTTCTAGAGCGACAAGGCAGACAAAGATCACGTTAGTTCTTTCAGGATTCGAATTCTTACGGAGACTGTTCATATTCTCATCGCACTAATGTTATCGGGACAAAAAATGATACGAAGGTAGGTAAAAAAAAACTATCTGCACATTTTCCCTAACATATCTTTAGACAAGAGTGAAAATAATTTTTGGCTTTCGCTTGTAGGAATCCAACGACTGCTATGTGATATGGCAGTAAATGCTGGGCAGTCTCCTCAAAGATGAAGAAGAGACTTGACGCAACGGAAATATGGTTCTACAGAAGTATACTGAGGATTCCATCGACCGAACACGTGAGCAAAGTCGAGGTTTTGGAGAAAATGGAAACAAAAAGGAAACTAATACTTAACATCAAGAAGAGATAGTTGAAATTTTCTGGGGTACATTATGAGGAAGGAGGGCTTGGAAAATCTGATACTCACACGGTAGATTAAAGGCAGGATGGATAGAGGAAAACAACGAATAACGAGCTTGAGTAAATAAATATTGGAACAAGGCTTGGGAGAAATAACAAAAAGACAAATATTATTAAGAGCTACAAAGGACAGAAAATTGTGGAGAGCCATGATCACCTATGTCTTGAGGGCACACGGCACATAATGAAGAAGAATCAAAGCGGAAATTAGGAGAGGAGCACTAGGGACAATTAACCTACCGTACTGACCTTGCCTGCTCAACCAGCGAGGCCAAAAAAATGGTTAGAGTCAATCCTATTTTACCGCTTCTAATTACTGAATTTACTTCTACCATAAAGCTCCAGAAAAATTCAGCATAAATCCTGATATTTTCAAAATAATCCACACATAAAAAAAATACTGACACCTGCTATTTTATAAACTCTTCCAGAACACGTGCATGAATTTGTTGAGACAAAAGATAACAAAATAAACAGTGTTTTCTTTTTTTTCTTTTTTTTTTTTAAGCATTTCACCCCAAGCAAGGCGGGAAGCCACTAGGATGCAAGGGGTTACAGAAAATATAGAGCGAGATCAGATAGGAGTGATAGAAGAGGGTATGAGGAGAAGGATAGTGGATAGATCAAGGCAACTGGAGATGTCGATTGACATTACACTAGAATAGCTGGAGATTGGCCCGAAGTAAAAGAAGCAGACAGTTTTGACCATGACGTGGGCAGAGAGGAGTTGGCACAACCTGCATCATAATGTGGCCTCAGGGTTTCCCACCGGAGGTGACTGCAGGGACACATTTCCATGCGCGACATGGCACTACAAACACCCCGGTATTATACAACTGTTGACCAGAGCGGCCGCTCAAGACGCTACGCAAGAGTTAGGGCTCCTAACTACCAGTCGGAACAGCAACTGGAGAACTGTCAACCGTGTACCCTCAGAATGAAGAGGTAATGCCACAGACTGCACACATCACGGGAGAAACAGAGCTGCATTAATACAGTGGCCAGAGAGAGAAAGAGTACCGGGAACCCCTTCCTAAACAAGAAACAAGGCGTAAGCCTCTACTCATGTCCAAGAGAAGGGGGAGGAGTGTTTACCGGGCGGTAGGAAAGACTACCTACTCCTATGATACGAAATCTTTTTAATTGAGGCATCTCAATAAATCAATGATTATTCATATAATAGCCTCTTCTGTTATAAATGTTTGCATAGATTCCCGATCACTAATAATTCCTTCCGTTTTGAAATCTTTAGCAAAGCATTTATATATACGAGATGGATTCAAAAATTTTTCAGTCCGACCAGGAAACTTCGCTGACAAAAAAATAAATTAAAAAATCTGATGTTTAGTCATTTGGTTAGAATTGGATGGGACCAAGAACTTTTAAGCAGCCTCTTCATGGTAATGTTTGTTTTAATCCTTAACCACTGACAAAATTTTTATTCTTGATTTTCAATGCATTTCTTGAATGAAATTATTTGCAATATAAATATATATTAGTGTCACGATATTGACTGCTTATTTCAACCAATCATTTTTTACTTTACAAATGTGTAAGAAGAAAACGGTTTTATAACAAAACAATATTTCTATTCATGTAATGATGTACAAGCATAGGGGCTTCTTGCCTTTGACTGGAATTAATTTTTTTGCTAATGAAATAGTTTTAATCTGAGCTCATAAAATGTTGAATGAATTTGCCGCTCAAAATGTTCACTGTGAAAGTTGAAAGAATTCTGTAAAGCTGAAAATAGGTTGATAAACTTTTAGCTTCAGAAGAGTTGAAGAAGTGAATGTTCCGTAATGTTTGTAATTAAGTTTCTGTTACTTGTGGTTGAATATTCGTAATATGCTGTTTCTTGTAACTGAATTTCGGCTGCTTTTAGTGTTCGTAATGTTTGAAATTAACTTTCGTACGTATGTGTATGTGTACGTGTGTGAATATGTTTTCACAGCGTCCGCCCGCAAGGGGTCGAGACGTGATTTCTTTTACAGCTACATTTTCGTAAGCGAGTGAAATCAAAAAGAGAGAAAGAACGAACTTGTGTCTGGTATTTATAATCAACGTTGTCACGTGATCGGCTCCGAAGAAAGAAACAGGAAATTTTGACTTGGTCACACGCTGGAAAAAAAAGATTTGTGCGTGGGTAGATTGCAACACTCACTTGTGTATTTATTGACCAATTAGAAGTTGAGGTTTTCTGAAAATATGTATGAAGCTGGATAAGCTTTGTGATTTGCTTTTTGCACAGATTTGCACAAAAATCGACATTGATAAAAAAAGTGGTAGCGAGGTGCTAAAATAGCACTGCTCACCCAGTATCACAATCATTATTTTCTTCCATTGTAAACAAATTCCTTTCTAATTTTTAAAGGTATTTCTATAATAAAATTCTTTACGAAGCGTTAATATTTTGCATATAAATATCCTACGCTATCAGAAATGCTAGCCTTAACTTATGACTATTGTCAATCCCTTTTTAGGATTTTTCTAAACACAAAATATAGACAGCATACTATAAATTGTTTAAAGAGATTTTGCATAAAAATTTAAAATTATTGTTTTTAATCATGAAATGTTTTTCGTCTAGCTCCAACACGAAAATGATTGAGTAGTAGTAAAGTCTGTGGTCTGAAAAATACCCAAAATTATATAAAAACAGGTTTATCGTCAAAATCGAGGAAAAATCAAAGGATTTTTTTGGTTATTATATTATATAATTTAATCGTTCCTAGAACCTTCGAAATCTTGGTTAAAAATATTGTTTTTCATGTGTTAACGTGTGACCATTAGTATAGGAAATTTGAGCGTCTTTTTGCGGTGAAAAACACATTGTTTCGGAAATTTTTACAAAAATCTGATAAATTTTTACAAAAATCTGATAAATTTTTACAAAAATCTGATAAATTAAAAATTCTTGGTATTTGTTTTTTTTTTTACATCTGTTACTTCAATTATTTATTTTTATGAAATTTCGAGAAATTTATTTTTGTAACACTTAATATTTATGAGGCACGGTGGATTAATGGATAGCGGCTCGGATTGAGGAATCGGACAGCCGAGTTCTAATTCCAGTCGAATCCATTACATTCACTTTCGTGCTAATACCCTTGGGAAAGGTATGAATCCTCTTCTTCATCCCCCCTCCCTCAGCTATGAGTAAATAGCAGGACAGGCCGGGTTCTATAGCCTTGGATGGAAACTGGTCTACCGCAGAAAGAAATGACAACCTACTGTGGGACAAAATCTTCCTCGTCAGTCATGTATCGAAAGATACATGATAGACTAAACGTGTATCACATGACTGACCTTGGAGAATTTAAATCATCATTTTTGTTTGTCTACCAGGACCCGTAGTTACAGAAAATCTCATCTGAAACGTAAAATAAAAATGTAATAAAGCTAAGACATCATTTAATTAGAAAAGCTTTTAATTGCTTTCATGAATACGATATATTATGGACTTTAGAAAAAATCTTTTAAAATTCTGTATTAATTTGTATCGGATAGGTGACTTTGTTATTAAATAAAAACTATATTTACTAATCAGAAATGATTTTTAATACTCATTTTAAATCGTTGGTATCGCTTTTCTTACACACACACACACACACACACACACACACACATATTGTATATATATATATATATATATATATATATATATATATATATATATATATATATATAAGCCTGATTGAGCGACCCGGGCAGTGGTTTGTGACACTCGCTATCTTATCAATATTTGTTTTTTTCTACCTATATACGTTAGATATTAAACTAAGCATAACTGACGACGAAAGGATGAAAAATTTTCGCGGATTTTTTCGAGAGTATTTTTTTTGTTTTGCCCAAATTATGTTTTGTCAAATTATATGTATGTCTGTGTATATGTATTGTAGGGACATTATTATTATTAATAAATAAAAATAAAATACAAAAAATAATAATAAGGAAAATTATAAATAAAATAAAACAATAATATTTAAACCTTGTTTAAAATAAGTTAAATAAAAAATAAAAATAAGAAATCTCCTGGCATGCAACAAAAACTTTTACTACCGGCAAATGCGGACACCCTCCAAAAGACGTTAAATTCAGACTCTTCACCACAAACCCTCGGACAGGCAACACGTGTGCAACTTCTTTCTGTGATATGATGTATAATAATACGGAGTGACTTCTCCCTTTTATCACATGTACCATAAAACAATTGTAACCTAAAAATATGCACGCCAATACGCACAAAAATATAAATATATTGTATGAAATTAACGTATAATTTACCATGCCTTTATTGTAATCTCTGTATGCTTTATTTCTGCGACGTATGTTTTTCATCTCCATGAACACGAGGTTAATTTCTGCTGCTTCGATGTTGAGGTTAAAATTGTAAAAAAAAAAAAAAAAAAAAAAAAAAAAAAAA